GATGTCCATCCCTGCTATCCTCTCTTCCGTTAGGCGTTGCGGCCCCTTTCTCTTTCTTTCTTTGATTTCTTTCGCGATCTCTTCTTCCGATATCCCTTCCAGTGCAGATCGTTCGTGGCCCACCGCCGTTGGCTTAACTTTTTGAGCTACTCGCTTGTGTCGCTTGGGTAGCCCCCCATAGGGGGCCGTGCCCTTAAAAAAGACACGGATACCACACCGCCAAATTCCTCATCTTTTTCCTTTGGTTACGAGTTGTCGTCCACTATTAGCCGAATCCCTAAATCATCCACCTCCACGATCCGACCTTCTTCCTCTGTGAGCAGTGGTCCATATTTCTTCTCGCGAAATCGCCGCGCGCGGCCGGAGATAGGTAACGACTTAATCTAATCACTGGGTCTCGCACCCACAGCGAGAGCTGCTCTGTTCCTCGGGTCCCGAGGCTCCACTGTCTCAATCATTACCCGCGTCCCGTCTGGCTTCCTAATGGACAATGTTTGGCTCCCATCAGGTCGCTCTATCGCACCGCATGCACGTGGCTCGGCCACGTTCGACCCAAGAGCAGGTCGGAGCTGCAGTTCTTGACTGCAAAGACAGGCAGGGTCACTCGTACCCCTTGGACCTCTATGGTTGCCTTGTGACAAACCCCAAAGATCTGTTGCTTTCTCCCATCAGCCGTCTCTATCTCGAATAGGTATGACCTATCGAGGCCCAGTCCAACCTGTACTGCCAGGTCCTCGTCTATGATGACAGCCTCACTGCCGTTATCGATCACAGCATCGAGTATCGCTCCATCGTTTATAATCGTCTCCACGGCCCCGCTACCAAGTATATAAAACTTGTCTGGAGGCACACCTTCCATTTCATCGAGAAGGACTGTCGCCATGCGATCTGCTCTGGCAGTCACCCCCCGTTACTGCTACTGTAGAAGCTTCCGCCTTAGGGGCCCCCTGACCCTCCTCCGATAGAGGTATGCGAGCCTTCCGCGTGATCATATGTAACTCATCACGAGCCGGCTTCGATGCCGCCAGGTACTCCAGAATAGAGCACTGCATGGGTTGCCGAAGGGCCCGCCTCAGTGGCTCGACCGTGTCAATCTCGTCCAGCGAACTCTTCATTAAGAACTTCTTCACTCCCCTCTTTCGCGGCGAAAGGATAACCTCCTCTCCATCGACCCGCTGCCCGTCCTTCTCTGCCATCACGTAATCCGTGTCAGTCTTCTTCGATGTAGACCCTCTCGCAGACTTGGTGGCTGCCACCCTTATGGGTGTGGTCGCCATATCCCCCTCAAAGGTTATCTTGATGCTTTGGCTCCTGACCGACTCCTTTCCTTTACTCGGCTTTACTCTCCTTGCTTCAACATTCTCCTTCATCGAAGGGAACATCGATACACCTCCCAGACCATCTGCCCACTTGATGTACTTGCGGTCGTCAAGCACGACAAGTCCCTCATCTATTGCCCGTTTGAGGTCCGGGCAATCCCTCTTGATATGATCTTCTCCTCTACAGTAGACGCATGAGTTCCTGGGAGTAGATGGCCTGTCGTCTGCGCTGCTAGAGATCGAACTCCCGGCTGCCTTGGGGTCAGGCGACTTGGGATATGGTTCTGATGAGACGCCATATCCCCCTCTCTCATTCCGACCGCGCGAATCGTTGCGGCAGTCTCCTCCAGACCCTCCTTGCTCATACCACCCTCGCGAATCATTCCGGCGGTCCCCCGAGTCATATCGCCCTCGTGACTCACCGCGTCGGTCCCCTCGGTTGTACCACCCCCGCGCTGCTCTCTCGCATCTCCCCCGCGCTCAAGCCGTCCGCGCGACCCATCTCGTCATTCCCTGTCTCGATCTCCTCTTTCATACCTACCGCCTCTGTAGCCATCTCGACCCGACCTCTCGTATCTGTCGTCCCTATATCCGTCTCGGTCCGATCTCTTGTATCTGTCGTCTCTATATCCGTCTCGGTCCGATCTCTCGTATCTGTCGTCCCTATATCCGTCTCGGTCCGATCTCTCGTATCTGTCGTCCCTGTATCCATCTCGTTGGCCCTGATCTGTCTCCCATCGGCCGCGGGAGTCGCCTCTGCCCGGATCGGCCTCATAGCGAGGGCTTCGCGGGTAATCATCCAGCCTCCTTGCTCGCGCAAACGGCTCGCGATCTCTACGGTCTCGGTCTATCTCATCATCCCTACGTCGCCATGGCTCATCGTCTCTCTCTCTTCCCCTCGTACGATAATCAGTCAGCGTCCGAGGATTTCTATCCTCGACACTCCTCCAGGAATCGTTGTTCCTACGGTCCCAGCGAAGTGAATAGGGCCCTCCAGGTTTGTCCCGGTAGGCCATGGCCCCTGTAGTGGTCACAATCTCTGAAACTTGTCTCGTCAATCCCTTCACCATGTCCCGTATCTACTTCACTTCCTCAGCCACGGCCTCATTCTTCTCCGACTAGGGATAGTCCTTAAAATCAGGACATCTATCCGTGGCATACTCCTTGTAGAGAGAGAAGTCACGTCTCCTCATCCCTCTCCACACCAAGTCCTTGTAATCGTCTGCCTCTGCCTTTATCGCGAGCTTTAGGACTTCTGGGAAATCAAGCCTGTCGCGCGGAAGATCTCTAAGTATACTCTTTTGCCTACCTTTGGACAAGTGT